TTCAGCCCGATCTTGTTTAAAAAACAAAAGTAAGCTCAATTTTATCAAACCAGCCCAGTTTATACATTGGGCCCAAACCAAAACTAGTTTTGTGAATTAGAAAAATAAAAATAAAATAAAAAAAAAATTAAAAAGGGGAGAAAGCCAGGGGCAAACCATGCCAGAATGCAACACTCCAATCCACGAGTGTTCAGTGTTGACAACACATATAGAAGATTTCTGATCTTGTCTTATCTATTCCATGAGGTTAATGATGTATATATAAAACTACAATATCCTATTAGGAGATTACTTAAATAATATTATTCCACTTCATTTTTTTAGCTCAAATTACAATTGAGACTCCAATAATAACTACCTGAATTATCTCTCTATGTATAAAATAGAAAGTCCACTAAACCCTCGGTAACAGATAATGCCGAGGCTTGACCGCTGTGAAATACAGGCACAAACACATCAACTCAATTCGAGTCTCATTTAATTAATTAATATATTATTATTTCACCGAAACTAGCGCTCGTTTAATCCATTTTCAAGGTCTAACATAACAATTCTTCATGAACTCACTTCGCAGTTATCATCAAACTAACGCACCTGGTGATCGTCAACTACAACATCATTGGTTATACTTTGAGAGAAGAGGCTTCGATACTCTTCTTACATATGTGCTATCATTTTGTGAAGAGAAAGGTATTGAGATACTGAATGAGTACTTGTTATCCACTTATTTGCTGAGGCTAGAATCTATCATCTATCCACTTACTTGCTCGGGTGGCTCTAAAAATCACGAAACCTTTGGGTATTTTAAAATTTGCATGCAAGTTCATGCGGTGATCTTAGCTGCTCAATTAACATATTCAAAATTTGCAGCTTCCAGTTCATGCGGATATCTCAGCTGCTCAATTAACATATGAACCAAAAATCAGCTGCTAAATTAACATATGAACCGACAATGGTAGGGATCTGTAAACCATTGAACGGAACACACGCACTAGTTTTCACCGATGATAAAAAATTCCCACAAAAAAAAACAAGCCAAAAAAACTCCTCCAAATTATTGTAGCAACCGCCAAACAGTCTCAGAAAACAAAGCACAAGAACACAAAACACAGCATAACACAGTCTAGCAACGGCATATCATAATAAACCTCCACAAAAAGAAAGCCACCCCAAAAAATCCACCTTCGGAAACCTAATACTTGTAGTCCTTGACATGAAGACTCTCCGACGCACCCTCACTCAGGCTACCGCTACCCTCATACGTCCCAAGAGTCGCCTCCGAGTTAGCCTTGCACCTGGCCAGCAAGGCCGCTTGGGCCTTGGGAATGTTCTCTTCCTTCCCAGCCCATGCCTTGAGTGTGCTCTGCTGCAAGGCCCGCCCGAACGAGAATGACAGGGTCCAAGGCTTCTTCGTCTTGAGCTTGTTCATTGCGTTTAGATTGCGCGTGGCCTCCTCTTCACTCTGCCCACCCGACAAAAACACCACAGCCGGGACAGCAGCCGGCATCGTGCGTTGCAGGGCCCGAACGGTGTACTCAGCCACCACCTCAGGCGCCACCTTGGCAGACTCCGACCCGGGCGTGACCATATTGGGCTTCAGAAGGGTACCCTCCAAAAGAACGTGGTGGTCATTAAGGGCCTTGTAGCAGGCTGCTAGAACCCGCTCGGTCACGTCAGCACACCGTTCAATGTCGTGGGGCCCGTCAACTAGGATCTCGGGCTCGACGATAGGGACCAGCCCATTTTCCTGGCAGATGATGGCGTAGCGGGCCAGCCCGTTGGCATTCTCATTGATAGCCAGCTGGGAGGGCTCATTGGGGCCGATCTTGAGGACAGCACGCCACTTGGCAAAGCGGGCCCCGGCCTCATAGTACTTCTGGCAGCGTTGGGCGAGCCCGTCGAGGCCCTGAGTGGTGGTCTCGCCGTTGGTTCCAGCGAGCTCGACAGTGCCCTTGTCGACCTTGATTCCAGGGAGGACACCACCTTCCTTCAGGACATCAACAAAGGGTTTGCCTGCAAAGTTTTAACAAATATGAGCTTTATCATTTTAGGTCGAGAGTGCAATGGATGCGTGCAGGGTGTGTTGTGTTTGCATACATACCATCAGCTGTCTTCTGGTACAGAGTTTCCTCAAAGAGGATAACACCACTGAGGTATTGAAGGGCACCGGGGGCAGTGAAAAGGAGCTCACGAAGGGCCCTCCGGTTGGACTCGACGTTCTCGACGTTGATGCTTGAGAGACGCTTGCCGATTGTGCCAGTGGATTCATCGGCTGCCAGGATACCTTTGCCAGGGGTGCCAATGTAGTGGGCATTGGCAATGAGCTCATCTGAAAATAGGAAACTATATTTAGAACTGCATGTATGGGCAGAAAGTTAAGACAAAGAACACTATATTCAGAACAGCAGGGGTGGAATGTTCTGGCAAGGAATTGAAGAATAATGAAAAATGTCAAAAAAAAAGGAAAAAAAAAATAACTAGTTAAAAGAAACTGTATAATATATGTTACAAGATCGAAAATAGCCAGTTGCACCATATTGGAAATGATAACAGTATCCTATTGATCTTCAGGTGGATGAGAAATTCAGGTTATATAAATACACAAGTACTCTGGAAAATATATTACCGCGCGGATCTACTTGTAGATACTAGATAAAAATGATCTACCAGTCGAATTAGGCAGTTTCACCATATTGGAAATGACAACAGTACTCTATTGATCTTCAGGTGGATGAGAAATTCAAGTTATATAAATACACAAGAGTAATGCTACTTAGCCAATTTGGATGACAACTTGGGTTACAACCTAAGTGTAAATGTATTATCAAGAAATTAAAAAATAATGCATTTACACTTGAGTTGTAAACCGAGTTGTAACCGAGTGGGCTTTATAGCATTACTCAACTCACAAATACTCAGAAAAAATCACAGCACAGTTCTACTTGTAGATACTGGATAAATATAATCTAGCAGTTGAATTATTCAGTAAATTAAAAAGAAATTAGCTTACATATCTAAATCACTTTGTGAAAAATCAAGCAATGTCAAGCCAAACTTAATCGCGATACCTAATTAAGCAGATATATCATTCTTTTATTGGTGAAGTTTACAACAGAACATCAAATTAATGGCACACGAAAAAAAAAAGCCAGGACAAACCAAATCGCACCAAATCCATAACCACAAGCAAAATCAACTGGGTCACAACGATAGATCCAAACAGATTTAACCAAGCAACAGATAGAAAAAGTGACGGATAACAATCAAGCAAATGAATCAGCAATGGATAACTCCACCGCAACCAGAAACGATCCGAATCAGACGCCATTAAAACACCATCGAACTCACCAAAGCAACAGAACCGGTAAAAAAAAATGTCGCAACCAAACAAGATACAGATCAGACACCACCGTCTTCAAAAATCATTCCCAAAGACAAATCAATATTTCCAGATCTAGAAGCGCAACAAATTCAAAGATCTACTGAAAACAAGCGCAAAACATCACTCAAACAGCAGATAAATACAGATCAAAATCTAGCAAGAACGAATAAGAATTTTACCAGCGTACTTTCCCTTGTAGCAAGACATATTCACGAGTATGAGACGAACAAACGAAGAAAAAAAAAACAGTCGGAGTGTAAAGGTCGAGAGAGAGAGAGATTTGTGGATGAGTGTAGAAGGATATGGTTGCAGGCTTTATATTTATATATGTAGGTTGATTGGACCATCGTTATTGTCGCCTAATCTCGACCCCTCCTCCAAGTTAAACCGTTTTATTTTCTACTTTCCCTTTTCTATTTTTTTTTTATTTTACTATTTTGACCCTGTCACGTTTTGGGCCTACTTACTATATTCTAGAATTTAAGGGGCCTTGAGAAGAACAAAAGAAAACAAGATGATATTCAAAGAGTGGCACAAAGAGGGAAATATAAGTGACATGATAAATAAATGGTACTTATAAATTTTTCACATATGTATTAGTCTGCAAAGCAAAAATTAAATTATTTAATTCCCACATTATTTAGTATTGGGTTCGTGAGTTTTTGATAAACATTGGGTTTTGTTCAATTATTGACGCCGAACTCTGGGGTATGTTTCAAGGACTATTGTTAACTTGGGATATAGGGGCGCATAAGGTGCAAGTCGAAATCGATAACAACAGTATCATTGAGATGGTCCAGCATAGTCAACACTCTGGGGTTCATAGTGATCTTTTGGATGGTATAAGGGAGCTGTTGGGTCATCCATGGGAGGTGGTGATTAGTCACGGTTATCGTGAGGTAAATTTTGTGGCGGACTATTTGACTTCTTTAACGGCTAAGGATCCAGGTGGTATTTCCAGATTGGAACGTCTCCCGTCAGGGGCTAGCATATGGTTGCACCATGATCGGGTTGGTGTGTCGTATCTTCAGGCGGTTCTTCTTTAGGCTTGCGTAGCCTCCTTGTTTTGCACCAAAAAAAAAAAAAAACGATCGAATTTGAATTTATACATCACAAGTCTACGGTCAACTCGACTGGTTAACAAGCTTATTATAGCATTGTCTGAGATATATGTAAGTGGGATAGTATTTAATAAGACGAGTGAAAATCAATGGTGAACGAATACAAATGTCAATTTTCAGCAAATTGGTATCACTTTTTTTATCTATTTAAAAAAGTATGAAGCTATTTCCATGCCCATATCATAAACAATCTGGCATCCGCAAAAATATTAAATGCGATATTTCACTTTCAAGATAGACATCTATATGTGTATCGATTTATTCTCATTATGCCAAAATCAAGTATTGAAAATTGCCATTTGTTATGGAAATTTTCTGTGGAATATGCTTATCCTTAAGCTAAACGCATGTCGATTTGCGTGGTTGGAGGGATATTCTATGGAAAATATCAAAAGTAGTCCCGTAATTATAGAGGTGTTTCGTTATTGGTTCTGATGATAGAATAATTATCTGATGTTAATCAGAGGACACGTGGCGGCGGTTGATGCTCCGACGCCCACTTGAACTCGTCTCCTTTGCTCCGACGCCTGTAAAACAGAACCTCGGGTTGTCGCCAGGGGTAGACCCTTCGATGCTTAAGTTAGAAACGGTTTTAAGTTTTCTAAGGTGGTAGCTGTGGAAAGAGTAGAAGAGAGAGTTTGGAATAGTCAGAATATCCCTTACCTTGACCTAGGTCATCCTTTTATAGGAGTCAGACGACCTAGGTCTCCCTTCTGCAGGCGGAGGACTCCCCGGCCCATAAGCTTCGTGGGCTGACCCTATACCTTGGGCCTAGAGATGTTAAACGGGCTAGCCCTGGCGGTTTCGGGTTAGCCCTAACGAGTTTCGGGCTAAACGGTCCGGGCCTAAAAAGCCCGGATTTAAATGGGCTACCAATAAAAAGACCTAACCCTAACCCTAGAGGGCTTCGGGCTAAACGGGTCTCCGATCACACGTGTCTTTATTCTCTCGAGTCACGTGTCGTATAATAAATGTATATTTTTTCCCTTATCACTTGTCCCCCATTTTATGTATGCATTAATTTTATGCGTACAGAAAATAAGCGATGAGACATTTACAGATTAATGGTGACTTTCCAGTACAGTTGTACAGACAGGCAGTCGAGCTGCTTGCTATAAAATTCCTCACTCTCATTTCTCTTCTCATTTTTAACATTGTTACTTTCTAGAGAGAGAGATATAGAGAGAGGGAGATAATCAAGCTCTTGGGATTGCATCGATTTTTCACGCTCGACGCCAGCATTCGGAAGTCCTCAGACCCTGGTAATTTTTTCTTACCGTGTCATTATTTCTTCATGTCTTCGGTAGCTAGTTATTATTTACCGACGTCAGTAGGGTTGATATTTACCTTAAACAGCATCGATAGCAATAATTTGGACGTATATTAGACACCTCGGTAGGCCGAGGAATTTCTCTATAGATCTCGGTAGTCCAAGGACTAATTTGTTGAACACCTCGGTAGGGCAAAGAGCTTCTTTGTAGACCTCGGTAGTCCGAGTACTAATTTTTTGAACACCTCGGTAGGCCGAGGAGCTTCTGTGTAGTCCTCGGTATTCCGAGGACGAATTTTTTTAACACCTCGGTAGGCCGAGGAGCTTCTTTGGAGACCTTGGTAGTCCGAAAAATAATTTTTTGAACACCTTGGTAGGCCGAGGAGCTTCTTTGGAGATCTCGGTAGTCCGAGGAATAATTTTTTGAACACCTCGGTAGGCCGAGGAGCTTCTTTGTAGTGCTCCGTAGTCCGAGAACTAATTTTTTGAACACCTCGGTAGGCCGAGGAGCTTCTTTGGAGACCTCGGTAGTCCGAAGAATAATTTTTTGAACACCTCGGTAAGCCGAGGAGCTCCTTTGGAGACCTCGGTGGTCCGAGGACTAATTTTTTGAACACCTCTGTAGGCCGAGGAACTTCTTTGTAGTCCTTGGTAGTCCGAGGACTAATTTTTTGAACACCTCGGTAGGCCGAGGACTAATTCTTTGAACACCTCGATAGGCCGAGGAGCATCTTTGGAATCCTCGG